TTATTAACAACTGCAATGCTCATTAGAGGCTTAAGATATAAGTTACATTATTACATTGGCACCCAGCACTTAGATGGAGACTGGTAAATCGAGTGGTAAATCCTGGCAACCCAGCCATCAGCCGTCATGTAGTAAGGAGACAACCTCACATTGCATTAGAAAAAGAAAATGATAAAAGAAAGAAACAAAAGCTCAGGGAAAAGTGAATTTCTTCTTAGCGCGTGTTAAAAAATAACTGGCTTCTTAGGATAAGCTCATCCTAGAAACTTTCAAATTTTGGAACAAATGCAAAATTACAGGTACTTCTTCATGATTTGCACGCACATCAAGTGCGCGGTACCGTCGTGAATCTTGGATACAACTCTAGCATTCTATCAGAGTGGTTAGGCATTTTTAATCGTATCCATTTACAACCTTGATGTGTTAAGGCCCCGCAAGCGTCAAATTGTGCTCTAATTCAGAACAAGGTGTACACATGCAGTTTTTAAATTGAGTTTGTGTGTCGAACGTTGAGGAGCCTTTGTGTAAGCCACCTCAGAGTTACGATGACCACATCGCGCTACCAGAGGTTATTAGCATTCCCATATTGCTGCTTCAATAGTGCATGTAGTACTAATGCATGTGAGTGAACTGTAGTACATGTAGGAGGGTCTCAATGGGGCAAACCGTTAACCGTAATATAGCGAAAATATTTTGCCGTTAGTCGTAAAAATTGACGAATTTCAACCGTTAGTCTTAACATAACATAACTGTTTATTCACAATTCAAATTTTAATGAAAGGTAAAAAGAAAACAAAAGAGGTTACCCCTTTCAAGTTTGTCTCCTAAAGTAATTAAAAATTACAGTAAAATAGTTCAATATTACCTAGAAAATTAGTAAAATGGCGTCTGACTCTGCTCTTGAAAATGTTCGGAGTTTCTGCCTCTGCAACTATTTTAGGTAAATTATTCCATTCATTGACTATACTTGCACAGAAAGAGTACTTAAAACTGTTTAGCTTTGCGGGCAATGGTTTAAGTTTATGGCAATGGTTGGTTCTTAATGGTCGAAAATCATGTGCAAATGTAAAATACTCAAATGGGTGTAGCCCGTTAAGACTGTTAACCGTCTTATAGCACTCGGTAAGCGAAGAAAATAATCTTCTCTGATGTAGAGTTGGCCATTTAAGGACCTTTAAGCGCTCTTCATACGACATATCTCGGCCAATGTTTCTGATTGCATATCTAAGTATTCTGCTTTGTACTTTCTCTAAAATAGCCAAATCCTTTTTGAGGTGTGGAGACCACACTGGAGAGCAGTACTAGAGTATTGGATGTTCTAAACTCGTGTACAATTTCGAGAACAATTCAGGGTTCCTGGGGCCCTTTGTTTGACCTATAAATCGGAGTACGCTGTTTGCCTTGTTTCAGGCTCCGTGATAGATTTGATGTGATGTGAATTCTAAGATCTTTAACGTTAGATTACAAAGGGTTAACCAAGGAAATTTTTCTTTTAAACTCCCTAAAAAGAAGAAGTTAGCCCTCATATGGCCAAAATTTTAACCGTTATCCGTAAAAGCCATCACCCCATTGAGCCCCTCATGAAGCTCGTGCGTTAAGAAACTTTTGTATTTATGTTCCATGTCAGAAATGATTGGCAAGACATGTTGGCGGTATCTTTGAATGGCAAATGTAAATTTGAACCCAAGTTTGTCCGTGATCTTTCACAGTTAATGACAACATTGACTCTTACGTTGTCTTTTAAGTAGTTCCTCATTTTAATAAATTCTCTGGACAGAGAATGTGACCTTAAGTACTAAAATAGTTTATTTCTTTTTGTGTCCTTCATGATAGCATTAGAGAACGCCATGTATCCGATCATCAGATCAGGACTGGCGAAGTTTGATGTCAGTTTACCCGAGGAACTCCAGAACTATGTCAGTTACTTATTAGATGAGTCAGCTAAACTTCACTTACGTAAGCAAGGTACTTAACATTGTTAAAATATGCTTGTATTGGCTTTGAAACATATGTCCAGTTATCCATATTCGGTCGTAAGATTATTGAGAAATACTGGGTTTGTGTAATAGTCAAGAGATTTTTTTTTTAAACTCAGATTTGTGATCTTGTGTTAGGTTTTTTTCATTCTCAGTAGACCTGGTGTCTTTATATAGTCATCAAATGATCTGCGCGGTCTAATGCCCGTTCTTAATAAGAAAAAAAAGATTTACAAATAAACCCCTTTATGAAGGCCGTGGGCGGTTGCGCTGGCAGGGGCATTTAAAGCTACAAGGCCAAGCGTGCATCCATGCAAGAAGAAAGTAGAATGAGAAGAGCGGCGTTCATGGAATAAAAATCTGGTGTAACCTGATCGTATTACCAAGAAAAAGACGTCTCTTTCAATTTATCAACACGAATAGATCGTTGTTATGTTTGTAAAGTGAAAAAAAATTTTGAAATTTGAAACTTTAAAACCAGATTTGGAAAAAAAAAGCAACAGAAACTTCTCTCGCAGGCATTTTCGACTGTAGAGTTTTAGATTACTTTTGGGGGAAAAGATAATATTGGAATAAAACTTTATGACAATGATTTACGACTTCCCTGACATTTTAAGACTTCTTGGAAAAGAAAAAGACATCTAGTGCTCATACTGCCTGTCTCCTTGTTTTACCAACTGGTTTCCTTTGACTTGGGATGATTCAACAATAAGTCGAAACACGGAGACTCGAAATTATTTTTGTGTCCAATTTGCTGAGGTATTTTCTGTGCTTTGTCAGTTTTTAGACTAAAACAATGTAAAGGTAGTGTTTTTCGCTGTAATGTTTTCAAGTAAAAATTAATATTCTTTTGTTTTAATCCTTTAGTACTCCAACCACCTCGTGCCTTAGAGGAATTACGAGAAGCAATGGATGAAGACGAATTGAAAACATTCCTTACTATTCACATCAGAGAAGGTGCATGGCAAGTGGTGCTGCTGTTTACGGATGAGCTCCCTAAATATAAACTACCATGGGACTGGTGTCGTATAATTCATAACGAGGACGAGGACGAGGACGAGAACAAGGAGGTGTCTAATGAAGTGATATACAGTTCGACGTCAGGCATATTGAAGGCGTGGCCAACAAAGTACGACCCTAGTTTGGCAACACTGTGTAACGCGATCACCAACAAGGACTGGAAAGTAACCAGATTAATTCTCTCTATGAGTCGGACACCTGATGAAGGTTTGAAGAACTTGAGTACAGCGCTTACTCAGAGTGAACTTTACAGCCTGACACTGCATGACATTGGTTTACAAAGTCAAGGATTAGAACACCTGTGTAACGCGCTAACCAGCGTTAACTGCAGATTAACAAACTTAAACGTCAGGAATAATCAGTTGGGAGACGTAGGAATAATGCACTTGTGTAACGCGCTAGCTAACGTTAACTGCAGATTAACAAACTTAAATGTCAGTTTGAATAAGTTGGGAGACGTAGAAATAACGCGCTTGTGTAAAGCGCTAACCAGCGTTGACTGTACATTAACCAGCTTAAACGTCAGTAACAGTGAGTTAAGAGACGTAAGAATGAGGTACCTGTGTAACGCGCTAACCAGCGTTAACTGCAGATTAACAAACTTAAACGTCAGTGATAGTAAGTTAAGAGACTTAGGAATAAAGCACTTGGGTAACGCGCTAGCTAACGTTAACTGCAGATTAACAAACTTAAACGTCAGTTTGAATAAGTTGGGAGACGTAGGAATAATGCGCTTGTGTAACGCGCTAACCAGCGTTGACTGTACATTAACCAGCTTAAACGTCAGTGATAGTAAGTTTGGAGACGTAGGAATAAGGCACTTGTGTAACGCGCTAGCTAACGTTAACTGCAGATTAACAAACTTAAACGTCAGTTCGAATAAGTTGGGAGACGTAGGAATAATGCACTTGTGTGACGCGCTAACCAGCGTTGACTGTACATTACCAAGCTTAAACGTCAGTTCCAATCAGTTGGGAGACAACGGATTGAAACACTTGTGTGATGCACTTACCAGTAGAAACTGTGCGTTAACCAAATTGAAAGTCCGTTTTAATAGCTTAGGGGATAGAGGAATAAAAGAATTGTCTGAAGTTTTAACCAGCGGATTCTGTGCATTAACAAGTTTAGACGTAAGCGGCAATGAATTTGGAGATGTAGGAATCAAGCACCTGTGTAGGGCCTTGACTGATACGAAATGCAAACTACAGAGCTTAAACCTCTGCAGCAATCGGTATGTAAATCGGTATGTAACAGAAGATGGTAAAAAATATTTGTCTCAAATGTTAACTGGTACTGACTGGGAAGATAAAGGAGCTCTACGACTTTCCCGTTCAACTACAAAGTAGACTAAGGAACAAGTCAGTGACACAGAGCCGTGACAGGTTCCTCCTGTTACGTTTCGCTTGTCATGAAATAAATTCCATTTTTATAAATGACAACTTAAAGATTATTGTTCAAGGTGATTACTGACCTTCTAGTCACTATCACTTGTTGAACAAAGTATTAAAAATGACCAGCAGTGAGTCAGTCGAAACATCGCGATCAAGAATTGAGGAATGACTCGGTATCATGACACAAATGATTATTAAACGTTCATTGTTGGATAGACGAATTTCACTGTTTTAACAATTAGACTATAAATGCAACTGTAATTTCGTATAAAGGATCTGTTGGTAACAGTGTCAAAAATTTTGTAAAAAATGTTTTTAGCTACAGGGTTATACTGGTGATTTAGCTGTAATAAGATGCCAAGAATATTGAATGATATTTTGATAAGCTATCTAAAGAATATCGTTGTCTACTAAAAGAAAACTTTGAAAAGACTACAGGAATAAGTGACGTATAAATGAAATAACAACATATTTTCTCAAGTTTTTTTAAGGCTTTCATATTTTTTGTCAGTAGACTCCAAGAGTATAATGTTTAAGCTTCATTTAAATATTTGGAATGTTTTTTTCTGCCTTGTTCATTTTCGAAGCCTAATGTGGGCGTTGTAAAACCAATTGTATTCTCGTTCAAATGAGTTTATTTAGACTTTACCTAGTAAGTAATTTACGCAAAGCTTGTACTCTAACTCGTAATTTTTTCATCCTAGTAGATGATTTTATGAAGAGCGGAGTTTTGTAATACTCTTAAATTACATACGAATGGTAGAAAATTGTTTCAGTACGGGTTACGTAGTCTTATAAATGTATAATCCCTTTTTCAATTTACCGGAATAGTTTAGAATGTAATGTAGATGTAATCTAATCGATAATATTTAAGTTATTGTTCCAAAATTCTCAACTCTCAGTAGAAATCATATTTTACATATATATTTGATATTTTGTAAAGGACCATACTAAACTGCGAAGTATATTAACCAAGGACATTGAATATGTGAAAGGACTGCAGTTAAATTTAATAAATGTGGTTTTGTTTTTTTTACGATCCTATCTTTTACTGAATCCGTCAATAGAGCCTTAATGAAGGAAACACGGGCTAAAACACACGTACCCGTTTTATTTGGACGCGAAGGTTTTTTTCCCGTTTGTATTTTGTCCAGGAAGAATAGAAGTAACTCCTTCCATGGTCAAAAGCAAAACTCTAAATGGCTTGCGCAAGAGCCTAGTTTAGGGGGTTCTTTGTGTGGAAGTGTCGAGTAATTTCGATAGGCAGGAACACTTTTCCACAAAACCAACTGTTTGGATTTAGCCTTGGACTTCCTTTCAATCTCCTCGCAAATTTCCTGACAAAGAAGGTAGGGAACGCGTCTGATGCATTTAAAGTCCTTCCTGTTATAACATATATTCTGGCTCAGTATTTTTTTTTTTTTGCTTTTGCTTTTTGTTATTGGAACTTAGATTTAAAGCATGTCTTAAAGGATAGTATCAGCCAGGACAGGAAAATCAAACGCTAATGTCAAAAGTATATTAAAATTTAAGTTCTTAACTTTGTTTGAGATTCTATTGAGCAACCTTATGTAAAGTTTTATACTCGATTCACCTCCATCGCCACGGGTTTTGCCGACATGAATGAAAGGCCTCGTGCTAGAAACTTCCAGTCAAATCTGCCAAGTAAACAATGACAGTAACTCTTTGGGAAATTTCTGTAAAAGGCTCTTCGAAACTGAAAAGGGAAATCTATTTTTTATTGTTTCGTCACTCGTTCTCTAATTCTTCCTTTCCACTAAACCTTATGTACAAAAGAAAAAAAATGCATAGATCTTATGCCTTACATGTTTTGAATCATGTTTGATGTTATCTAGTTTAGGGAATTTTGTGGTTGATTGTCATATTTAGAGTACGAGCAGTAGTTCAGTGTTCGCTAATGTAGCAAAGAAACAAAGTAACGTTGGGGTAAGAAGGCATTACGATTGAAATGATCATGCTATTACATTTGACAATGGTGGATGATGTGTTTTAAACATATATCATTTTTGTTTCCGGTTCAAAAGAAAAAGTTGGAAGTAAATGTGGGTGAAAAGTGAAATTTACTGTCTATCATTGTAAATATTGGAAAATCAAGGCAATACTTGCTTAATGAAAATATTAGTGATTCCCTCCTTATCAAATGAGACAAACGGGAACGAGTTTTGAGTGATATAACTAAGCCCAGACTGTCACCGTCATTTTGGATTTCCGCCTGGGTAGATTTTGGTCACGAGCGAGGCAACGTATAATCAAGAACAAGATAGAATTTAATTCCAGGCCTATTCATCAATTTTGTGGTGTATAACTTTCGCATTTTAGTACGTAATATTTATTTTGAATCTTCAAATTGTCTTGAAACCATCACCTATACTTGGATATTGACGATACTGAGAATCCCAAGTTACCGCCATGGAGCAATTCAAGATAATTTTCGTCTTCATAGATAATACAGTAAAGCCTTCCCCTTTCGCACCCACTTCATATTTTTCTGGCGCAATTTTAATGAATGAATAAGACAGGTCACAATCATGTATCTTCAATTTCCAGTTTCGATTGATGTTTAATTGTAGAGAAGAGTGTCAGTGTACGGCGATAGATTAAGCATCGACCAGCGGGTATATATTTTATCCATCGAGCATGCGCAGGTAAATGGCCGCTCGCTCGCATCTTAAGTTTTCTTCATGCCTTCTTCTTTTTGTCACTCATGTATGGGCAAGATATGAATGCAATTTCACGAAAATATTTCCTGAGTAAAAGTATGACTACAGCTCTTTTTTTGGCTATGATTTTATTCTTCGCTAGCCGTTTGTTTGATTTTTTTGTTTGTTTATTTTTCCAGCTGAAATCCATTCTGTTTGCATTGACAACATTATGAAGTGTAGAATTCCATTTATTTTTTCTGTTTTCGGTTTATTTATCTATTCTCATGCGTTCATTTAATTTCAATTACATTTGTTTTTATTGACTTTCACCGATCTTCTTTTCAGTCTTATCATCTGACCAGATCGTGGTTTAGATGCTTAATTCAAGTAAAACAAAATGAGTACAAGGAGATTGTTGTTGGAGACTGTTAAGACATTTATACTAGTTGTCTACGTTGTCAAACAACATTAAGTCGAAGCGCTGAGGACCGGTTATTTGAACTAAGTGTAGCTGTTGTTTAACAAAACCGTGTCCTAAGCCATCTTCAATTTGGCCGAAAGTTTTATTTGAACATTTATTTTTGTGAACAGTGTCAAGAGGGCCGAAAGCTAATAGTGAAAGGGCATTTATGTAATAAAATCAACTCTCTCTTAGAGAATGCCTGAGGCCCCTTGCTTCCGTAAAACCGCGGTATGCGTTAGACCTCGTATAATTAACCGGCCCCGAAACTCGTAATTCTCAGGTAATATCTCAACACCACTCTCTATTGTCCAATTTGCCGAAGTATTTTTTGTGGTTTGTCAGTCTTGAGACAAAAATAAAAACAAAAAATCTGAAACGGTGTTTTTTCGCAATTTTTTTTTCAAGTTAAGTGCTAATATTTCTTTTGTTTTAATCATTCAGTACTCTAATCGAAATTTCGAGAAGCAATGGATAAATACGAATTGAAAACATTATTCATCAGAGGAGGTGCTTGGCAAGTGGTACTGCTGTTTGTGGATGAGCTACCAACACGTAAACTGCCATGGGACTGGTGTCATGAAGTGTGGGAGGAGAACGAGGAGATGTTTAGTATACCGTTGTACATTTTGACATCAGGCATGTTGAAGGCGTGGCCAACAGAGTACGACCCCAGTTTGGTAACGCTGTGTAAAGTGATCACCAACATGGACTGGAAAGTAACCAGGTTAATCCTCTCTAGCAGTCGGATATCTGATAAAGGTTTGAAGAACGTAAGTACAGTGCTTACTCAGAGTGAACTCTACAGCTTGACACCGTATGGCATTGGTTTACTTAGTCAAGGATTAGAACACCTGTGTGAAGCGCCGATCAGTGGTGAATGCAATTTAACCAGCTTAAACGTCAGTGACAAAAGGTAAGGAGGTGAAGGAATAATACACTAGTGTAACGCGCTCATCGGTGTTAACTGCTTGTCAATCAACAGAAGCAAAGAAACGACTGTGTTTTTAGACTTTTCGATTCGTTCAAATATTTGACAACTTTGAGGTCAAATATCTCCCCTTGCCAGAAAGCTACAACACTAATCTTGATTCCCCTTTATAACCCATCATTTCATCTCTGAAAATTATCAAAAAAATCTTTGGACACTACCGTATTTTTGTCTTGGATGCCTTTTAAAATCTGCGACTGTGACAAGTTTCCCTCAACTACACCTGTCACGCAATTCTTGCTCTAGGCGGTCACTTGACCAAATAAACCTACATTTTTGAGCTCTTTATACAAGATGATTGATCAAAAAAGGTGAAAAATGTGAAAAACTTTTTGAGATTTTTTGTAGGAATGGAAAATTTCACGTTTAGAGAGATGCATGTAGGCGAAAAATCGATGGGAAAATCGTTGCGTTTCTTTCTCTTGTCGTTTATTACTTTGAAGATTTGCCAAAATCAGGAAATAGGGCTCTTGTATAGAACAAAACATTCATTAGTCTATAAGTAAGGAAACTGTAACAGGAGAGGAGATTTTAAAGTCACATGTCGCGTGCTTGTTAATGTACAAGTTCCTGTGTGTAACAACTTCGGCTTTTCCATACCGCGGATGACGGGAAACTCTGCCTCCCTTATTTGATAGGAAACATTGATAGCCCCATAAAATTCATTAACTGCGCCATGTTTCCACTGGACTGGAAAATGTTTTTTCCACTTTCCACCATCAAGAAATTCCACGTAGAAGTAGTATTTGTAGCGTGACTGCGTGACCTTTCATTAGAAGTAAAAATTATTTGTCTTTTTTTTTTTCAAGAAGACACTTCTAGAAAGTTCTTGATCCTTCTGTTATCTTATTTTCCTGTTTTTTGACTGCAAAAATCATCTGCATTTGCTATTACTTTCGCTGATTGTAATGGCCTTTCCTGCGTGTACGTGCGAGCTAGTTCATATACAGGACTCTTCCGAGTTTCTTTGGGTGGAGTCGGGTTGAGGTGTGTAGGTCTGGCTCAAAAGATATCTGCACGCTGCAACACGGCGTTTCTTTATTTGTATTTTTATTTTCTTCCTTGCATTATCACATAATTATGTTTTTTTATTCCCTCAGCGCGTTCCCTCAGATTTGGAAGGGCTATGAAAAGTCAATATTGACCAGAACTGAAACCCTTTCTATCATTATTTGTTTCAGGGAACCCCTGTTATTTATAACTTTATTTCTCAAGAAAATGTGTTTTTATTTGCTATTTATTTCCATTAGAACATGAAACTAGGTCCTAATAATTTTTTTTGTTTCGTGACTCACAAAAACTGTGTTTGCGACAACATCAATTGAGAAATCAAAGGCAATTGCGCCTGAGAAATTCGCTTTTAGCCTTCTACCCGCAGAAGGAAAATCCATGTCATGAAACGTTGTAAGACCTCTGACTAGAGACATTAAGTGATGTTGAGGGGTCAAATATTTACACTAAATCTGTGACCCTCAAACGGATCACGTACTCGTACATGTAACGTCCGGAAAATGTCATGCATGTATAACATCGTACGCGCACCTGGCGAATTCTATCCACTGGCTTCAATAGTAAAGAGACAACTTATTTACTATTTGTATATGAGCAAGCTTATTTACCCTACTTGAAAAAATCCTTGATGAAGTCTACTCTTGTCAGACGAAAAGCGTGGGAGATAAATACAAGTTTTTACTTTCTCAGTTTGTGCAGTGATGCTCAATAGTTTGTTCCGTCAAAAGCGCTTTTAATGTGAAGTCACGTCGACCTCGACAGAAAAATTTATCTCACCCTGTCATAATCAATGGTTTGATACCGTAACCACCCATTTAGGTACATCATTGGGCTTTGGTCACAATAATGAAAAAAAAAAATGTGCGTTTCCTCACACTCGCCACATTTATTCTTTGCAAAATTATTTTACTCGAGGGCGATGTCGTTTAGCTTGGCGCGTCTTTACTCTGGCCGACGAAAATTATCTAGGTGAACCCCATGAAATTCTTGTCAAATGTTTTAAAAACTTTGTCTACCCTTGATTTGCACGCAGAAAAGAAAAGGCAAATTCCGAACGGTATTTCAAAATATTTTATTCATTAGTCAATTTATGAACTGTTTTATAGCAGCGCGAGGAAAAAGCAAAATTGAAACAACCGGCGTATCGGTCGAATGAATTCCACTTTTTTCAACAAGGAGTTTGTAATTTTTCCCAGTAAATTTAAGTGGGGATCAATTTTTTGTGACAGCCGAAAATAGACATCTCTGAAACGTCTCTGAAACTCTTAAGGAGTTCACACTTCCGGTAATATTTAAGAGACGTCGATGTATCCCAAACATGCGTTTCGTCCGAGAAGAAGCGTATTCTAGCGCGTATTGGCTTATTTGGAGAGTTACGAAGGCCGCGATTTCACGATATGCCTCAAATATCGCGCACAACTTAGTGTGAGATTCAGAACTTCGGGTTCGTAAATGCCAGTATCATCCTCATAAAAGAGACGTAAAGTTGGGAGAGAGGTGAATCTGAAGATGGCAGAAGAAATCGAAGCTGGTGGCGTGTCTTCCTGGTGGCAAGGTGATTGTAAACCTAAACGCGTACTGTAACTGCTATCTTAGAGTTGGCAATGAATAAGGAAGAAGGGCAAGAAGAGCACTTATCTGAAAATCAGTTTTCCTAACTGGTGATTTGTTACTGAGATGAACTTTATATCATAAGATTGCTAGGGATACGCAGGTACTGTAGAGGCGCTCACATAAATAGAGGTGGGCGATCCTCCCTCTGACTCAAGAACTGCGACAAGCTTAGAGCGCAGACCAGCTGACACAGTTTGGAGCACCTCAGGGTCTCACTAGGCTCGTCACATTAGAAACCTTCAGCAAACTAATCGTAGAAGCGGGTGGTTATCGGTAACGTGCACAGATCTCTGAACGCGGGTCATTGCGAGAACTATACCCAATCCGTCACAGACAGAACAAGAAAGCGAGATATTCTTGCTAAAAGGAAGGATGTATCGAGACGTTTCAGTCATTGACTGCTATCCAAAAGTACCCTAACAAAGACAAACACAGTGAAGCTGACAAAAAAAATCCGCCTATGATAAGATCAAGAGGAAATAGTCGAAGACCGGCTTGCCATTCTATAGGGAATGGCTACGTTCAAGGACGGACCTCAGGTAAAATTCTGGCGAACAATCCCTAATTAGCCAAGTGGACTTTGGATGGGCTCTTTGGAAAACACAAAAAAACAGCCACCTTTTTTACTCGTGAATTGTGCGCATGCGCAAGAGCGAGTTACAGATACGATGCGGGGAATGCCATTCGCTCGCTCGCTCGCTCGCTCGATTGGTCGATTCCTGTAAACTTTTTTTAGATTTTAGGCTTTTGAGTGCATTTGATAGTTTTTGGCGAGCAATAAACAGACGAAATGGCGACCTTAGTTGCTAAGAATAGTGGTGGGGTGAAAAAGAAGCCAATGATAATCTTAAAAGAGTTTTTTTTTTCGTTTTAGTTTCAACAAGCGGCGCCAGCGACTGGCAGGCATGCAAGGATTCACACTGAAATAACAGAACAACCTTCGTTTTTCATAAAATTGTAATTTACAATCCTTGAAATTGAAAACAATCCGAAGATTCATTGAAAATACCACTTACTGCGAAGCGCTCGGAGTTTACAGATGTTCAAAAGCTTTTTCTGTTATGGCGTGAGATTGAGGACAAAATTAATCATTACGTTTCGTCGCGTGTGTTTTTCCTGTCTGAAGCAACAAAAGATACTGGCGACTGACGAAATAACAAGTTAACACGAAAATCAAATAACACCTAAACAAACAATTTTAGCTACCGATTTTCAGTGAATTTTTAAAGAACAATTTTCTTTTAAGTTTCAAGACAATTTGAAGATTCAACATATATACAACGTACTAAAATGCGAAAGTTACACACCACAAAATTGATAAATAGGCCTGAAATGAAATGAAATGAAATCTTGTTATTGATTATACGTTGCCTAGCACGTGACTTAAATCTTCCCAGGCGAAGATCCAAAATGACGGGGCTGTCCTGGTGTACCGGTACACGGGGGAATTCCTATTGTTTTCATATCCATTCATGGAGTTGTGACGCAGTTCGTTAATGTTTCGTTCCTTTGTGTACCGGTACACGAGGACACAACCAAAATGACGGTGGCAGGCTTGGCTTAGTTATATCACTCAAAACTCGTTCCCGTTTGTCTCATTTGATAAATAGGGAATCGTTAATGCTTTCATTAAGACAGTATTGCCTTGATTTTCTAATATTTACAACGAAAGACATTAAATTTCACTTTTCACCCACATTTACTTCCAACCTTTTCTTTTCAATTCACGAGTTTGCTCACAGAGCACTTTGATCTAAGAAAGCAAAGAATTATCTCCTAGACGTGTGCTGGACAGTGGAGGAAACTTGTAAGGCAACCACCTCTAATGTGACTTCCCAAAAATCGAGTTTAAGAGACGACACCAGCCAGAAATATTGTGTAAGACTGACCGGTTGATAGAGCAGCAAATCGCTCGATACTTCAGGTGGTTATCTGCCGAAACAAAAATTGGTTTATTGACGAGGTCCCTCTCTGTAAATATGAATGAGGACGAAGAGGCCGATGCCGATGATCTAGCTTCAGAAGTCGAAACTGACTGAAAAAGGCAGAAGATAATGAGGGACCTTGCAAAATTTAGACGAAGACTGCAAGAGAGGGTACAGCTGCTATTAAGCTAAAAAAAATGAGGACCTTTGCATCTCACTTTTCTTTCATAGTTATTGTCTTTGCTCACGAAAACAACTGAGTATGTCTTGGGATTTCATCGAGAGAAATTTGCAGGAAGCCCACTGGTCAAAATACTGCTGGCTCATTCGTAATAAATTTCACAAGTCACTCAATTAAACGCCGGCAGCACTCGATCTAGAGAGATGTAGATTTATATGTAGTAATAGAATGTTTGAAAAAAATATGCAGATATTTTACGATCGAAGCAGGCAAATAATCATAGAGATCTGCAGATTATTCTAAAATTGTTATCTAGCAGACAGCATGAACAACGCGCTTGAATAATTCCTACGGAGAGTCTTCGAGTCACGCAACAGATGTTAGCATAGCGGAGTTCTGCATGGAAATGTTCGATGGCGGTAAGTGACAACGACAACTCTATTTTAATTTATTTTCGGGATAGAAGCACAGTTTTTAGTCTGATAGAACTATTAATATTTGCTCTCAAGCGAGAGCGCAGAATTACTCGTAAAAGCTGAAGTTGAAGCACACTGGAACTTGTGGTAATGTCAACCAACACGCAGCATGTGACTTTAAAATCTCCTAAAATGAGTAATGATGATGATAAACAATCAAATTATAGATTAATGAATGTTTTGTGCTGTACAAAAGCCCTATTTGCTGATTTTAGCAAATCTCCAAAGTAATAAACGACTGAAGAAAGAAACGCTACGATTTTCTCTTCGAATTTTCGCCTTCTCTTCCATTCCCACAAAAAATCTCGAAAGTTTTTCACATTTTTCACCTTTCTTGATCAATCAACTTGTATAAAGAGCTCAAAAATGTAGGTTTATTTGGTCAAGTAACCGCCTGAAGCAGGAATTCCGTGACAGGTGTAGTTGAGAGAAATTTCTCACAGTCGCAGATTTTAAAAGGCATCCAAGACAAAAATTCGGTAGTGCCCAAAGATTTTTTTGATGATTTTCAGAGATGAAATGATGGTTTATAAAGGGAAATCAAGATTAGTGTTGTAGCTTTCTGGCAAGGGGAGATATTTGACCTCAAAGTTGTCAAATATTTGAACGAATCGAAAAGTCTAAAAACACAGTCGTTTCTTTGCCTCTGTTGATTGACAAGCCGTCAATCAAACTGACTGATACTTGCGGCAGACATTAACTAAGGCTGGAAAAATATGTGTGGAAATCCTCAAGTAATTGGTTAAATACCATCGCAGTGAGAGCTTCATACATTTTACCTATTTTGAAGCGATTTCCTTGGTGAAAACCAAGAAAAACCGGGGGTGGTCTATCTCCCCCAGGAAAAAACCAAAACAGAAACCAGTTTTTCTTTTTGAGTTTTGGGTTAGACCCTTCAAACTGGTAAAGTTTCATTGAAATCGGTGAGATGGCATGTAGCACGACTGCCCGGTGCTCTCGTGGACATGCTCTTAAAGGTCTTACCTGAAGCTTTAACCAACAAGAACTTTACATTAACGAGCTTAGACATCAGTGACAATGAATTAGGAGATGAAGGAATAAAGTACTTATGTAAAGCCTTAACTGATACCAACTGCAAACTAGAGAGCTTAAATCTGCGAGGAAATCGGAATATAACAGACGTGGGCAAACCGTGTTTGTTTGAAGCGATAACTGACACTGACCGGGAAGTCAGAGAAGGTCTGGTACTTTGCCGTTCCATTAGGTCAGAGGCATAAAGCTCAGATAGGCTCCTCTTTGTTGCTTATCGTATGTCAATTAAAATGTAATTTTTGGGAAGAATAAAATTATTGTTTGACGCTTGTTTTTTGATTGGATAAAAAACAGTTTGGTAGGCTATCTCAGAATATTACAGAGCCTCAGAGGGGATTAGGTAAATTAATCAAAATTAAATACTTGAGCATGTCACTATCGTTAATTCCTCAAATTCCGAAGTTGAGAGAAGAGGTGATTCAATAGCAAAAAACTTTGGAGCATTGCAAAAACGACTCTAGTCTCGTCAAGACATCAGGGTAGCTTCTAAGATCAAATTGGATATTTTACTGTTGTTCTCCCATCTCGGCTTCATTTAACACAAACAATGGCATGGTACTGGCCTGGAGGTATCTTAGATGAAACTTTGGTACGAGCAGAATCTCATACCACATCATAAAGCAAATAGTTGCGTTACATTAAAGTGAAGTAGGGAGAACAGAAACTCTGCTGAAAGGATTTGCTAAAGCGTTACACGGAGAATACAGGCATGAATGACCGTACTTGAGGAGTAATGTCATCAGTCGTGTGTAGAAGTAAATTGTGATTCATTGTGCAAATAATCAATCTCAGGGAAGGAGAGGAAAAGAACTTTCCAAAGAAAGGTCGGAAAACAAGAAATAAACCCAGAAGAGCTCTTGTCTGACTAGAACTATAAGGTCAGGATTCAAAGATCTGATCAGAACACATCTATTTCGAATTTCGAAAGGTAACTCCTTCTTTGGAGAGGGATGGAAACACCTGAGAGCTTCGAAGATCCTCTCTAAGGCCCAGTTCTTTCTTGGTCTCCGTTCCACGGCATCGTGCCTAGACTGCCTTGGTAGTAAAATGGGCGTTGTTCAGAAACCCTTGTGCCTTAAACTAGGTATCTTTACAATCGTGTGGAAGTCTTTGTTTTCAACATTTTCTTTTCGTATTTCGCCATATTCGTTTTCCATGAAGCTCGTACGTTCTTGGTCTCCGTACTCAAATCAGTACGTTTTTCAGGAAATGGATCTAGAATTTTTTCTCAGGAGAGGTGCACCACCAATGACGACGTATCTGACAGGTGAAGAAACAAAATTTAAAAGTGAAAAACCAAGAAGAGGGCCTATGACTAGGCAATGATATGAAAATGGGCGTCGTTAAGAAACGTTTGTGTCCCAGACAAGTTTCTTTACACACGTGAAGAATTCTTTGATTTCGTCTTCTCTTTTTCGTACTATGTACTTATTAATCGAGTGGGAGGGCCGGACGGGAAATTTTGGCTCAAGGTCATGACGTAGGGACCGAGCGCTTTGCTATGAAACTCGTGGGTTTTTGCTCTCTGTACACAGATAATTATGTTTAGCTGCCTACCACAATTTGGTGATTGTTTTCTTCTCTAACTGTTCTCGTGTAAGATTTTCATTTATTTACAGTCGCACGAATCTCGAACAAAAAGTGACATGAACGGCCATATACACGACGTTGTCTCGAGCCGCTGAACAGCTAACCCTGGTCTACAGGCGCAACTTCCGTGATCCCGTGCTAGATGGAGTCAAACGTGTATGTTCTTTACGAATTTACTTTGAATGTGATATTTTGTGGAGTGAAACTTATCGATTAGTGGAAGAAATTACAGCGATATTAACAATGTCGTGTTCGAGTGCATTGACTACTGCCTGTCACGAAGAGGAGAAGAAAGAGCAGAGGCTTATTGATGCCATGTTTCTCTGTGACGAGTGGAAATCTTCGAAAGGTGGATTATCAACTTTCAATCGCGAGTTAGCTATTAATTTGGCAGAAACAACGAGTGGTAGCATGAGAATCCACTGCTATGTCTCGAGAAGAGATGATCAGGATAGAGAAGATGCTGAACAACATGGAGTGAATTTAATCACCGCTCAGACTGTTCCTGGATCACGAGATCCCCTGGATTGGTTGAAGGTTCCACCTCCAGAGCTTCCGAATCCACATATTGTGATCGGTCATGGCAGAAAACTTGGAACTCCAGCATACCACATTGTACGAGCTACAAGATGTAAATGGATTCAGTTCGTCCACGTCTTCTGCGAAGACCTTGGGAAGTTCAAAGAAAGTTCTGCCGCGGCTGTTACAGATACGATCGAGGAGAACGAGGAGAAGCACAAGATGGAAATTGAGTTGTGTAAAGCAGCGGATGCAATCGTCGCTGTCGGCTCACGTCTACAACAGAAGTACAGCAGAAGTCTACCAAATTTGAAAGTGGAGATCATCACCCCTGGAATCATGGAAAGGTTTTGCAACGAATCGATAGAATCAAGTAAGTCTTACATGTTCATGAAGACATTTAACGTCTTCATGTTCGGACGTGCAACCTTTGAAGACCTTACGTTAAAGGGTTATGATATAGTAGCAAATGCCATAGGTTCCCTTGGAGAGGAATTTGAGCTCACATTTGTTGGCTCTTCTCCTGGTGAACACCGCAACGTAGAGCAATGGTTTCTCCAGAAGACATGCATCAAACGCAAACAGATAACCATTCGTGGCTATTGCAGTGAACAGGATGAACTGAAAGGAATGTTTCACCAATCAGACCTGGTTGCTCTTCCTTCACGTACTGAAGGATTTGGGTAAGTTGGCCTCGAGGCCATTTCTGCTGGTGTTCCTGTTCTTGTCTCTGGTGAGTCTGGCATAGCTGAGGCTTTGCAAAAAGTAGAAGGTGGAAAAAAAGTCATTGTTGGATCAGATGAAGATGAAGATGAATGGGCACAAAGGATCAGAGAGATGTATGAAGAAAGCGCAGAAGAAAGAGAGGCCAATGCTGTGAAGCTTCGTGAGAACTACAGGAAGGTTTACCATTGGAAAGCAGAATGTGAGAGGTTTAAAGGGCTGATTGAGAAAGTAGTGGAAAATGGTATGTTCAATTATTTTATCTCTGCTTAAATTCTAGGTGCAGTTGATGTTGCTTAAACCTACTGTATGTGGAATATAGAAACGTTATGTTAAAGACTAAATGCAGGTATATGTAGATAGCACAGCTAGATTGCATGATTTATTTCTGTAAATGTTTTGATATGGATAAACCAGCAGTAAAAATGTCCATTTCAGTCACTATTACCTTTTTCCCACTTTCTTCTGTCCTTGTAGATATGAAATTTGTCATGTTACCAAAGTTTGGTGTATTAATTACTATTCTATGGCAAGATTGTTGTGCAATTTAAGGTTTTGGGCAAAGGAACATTGGTGTAGAAGCCCTCTAAAAATGAGGAACTGCAATCAGACTATCATTCAATATGTTTGAATTTTAATATTATAGTAACAGTTTCAAGTGGATTCAAAGTACAATTTTAACTTGGACACTCTGCTCCAAATCAACAGATCAAAAATTAAATGTCAAGGTTGACGTGGAAAAGATGAAACTTGCAGATCATGACGCTTACAGTACAGCTTCAGTTTCAGCTGCGGAGCCAGCAGGATATCAGAAGGCATCCACAGCTTCAGGTGTAAAGAGGAAAAGACAATCTGATACAGATTTAGAGGATCTCCAGCCACTCAAAGAGAAAGTCCTGTGCTTAATTGCTATGAATTACCTTGATACTACGCCACCACAGAGCATGGATGAACACAATAAGTTTCAGGAATACTTACAAAAAATGAAGGTCCTCATTACGGGTGTTTCTGTAGGAAGTTTGGTGATAACAGTAAAGTGCAAGTCTCTCGTGAGCTTGGAGGAATTATGGGAAGATTATTCACACGGCCTTTTGGATGAGATAGTTCAAGATTGCTTTGTGACTAAAAAGATTTTGAAGGAACTTAACCTGGCAGAACTGAAGCTGAAAACAACAATAGACGTAGAAGAGTACAATGCATACAAACTGTACTTTCTTGAGAAGGATGCACTCGGAGGTCAGTTGAGAGAAAGAAAAAGGCCTGGTCCTGTGGAAAAATGTTTTGAAGTGATTAAAAGCACAATGCATCACTCATTCAACATGGTGCATACAATAATTGTATCATGAATAAGTTCATGCTGACTATGTAAGCCATGACAATGGCAGCTAGAAGGGATTAGTTTTCAATATATTTTCTGTCTGGTTGTATTTGTCTTTGCTCCAAATATAAATAAAATAAAACAAGCTAAAATATAAATTGGCAAGATTCTTATCGGAGGAGCTACAAAAGAAAGAGTGACCCCTATTTGTGTGTGGGGTTTTTATAAAACGATTTGAGGTGTGTTTTATGTTTTTTAATGTTAGTATTTAGTGATTGCCTCATTATTTGTTTTATTTAAATCTGATTTTAGGTGTCTTGTCTTCTGAATTCCACTCCATAAGTTCAACCAGTGAAAGTCCACAAAAACAAGAAGAGCTGAAAAAATGGAAGCAGAAGACAAAGGTTGTTGAGACAGAGAAAATAAAAGGTGAAAACAAAATTAAAAGATGTATTAAGTTGTTATGGAGAGTTGTTGTGAACAGTAATAACAATTTACTAGTTGACAAAACTTTGAAGAATTATCTCAATGAAATAATGTGGCATTAGTATTATTTTAAAGAATACAAGTTATGGGAAACAACATACAGTGTATCTGAAGAGAGGCTGTGAATGCTAATCTCTCCCTGTACTTTTTGCTCTTAGGTACTTCACCCCTCACTGTAATACCCAGTGCTGGTCACAGAAAAGAACTTATGGAGGAAGGGCAGGGAAGGAAAGGTGAACAGGAAGGTCAGTTTAAATTAATTTCCTAAGTGAATATGTTCAGTGTGTTCAGCTATTATGTCAAGTGTAAAGAAGTGTGCTTTTGGGATTAAACATTTAAGGTTGCTAGGATCTGTGGGGTAAAACTAAACTGACAATTATTTTAAATACTTTCAATTCTCAATAAAAAATTAATTCCAAAGAAATTAAAACCCAATTTAGTATTCCTTAAGGGAATGTTAAGATGGTATTGGCTAGGGATGATGAAACAGTATTAATTATAATAAAATCACAATCATAATAATAGTATTATAGTAATATAATAAAGGTTTTTTCAACCTTAGTCATAAATTATGTATTAAAAAACTGACATTGATGATGTATTTTAGATAAATTTCATGCGCTTTATACAGATTGTCACATGTCGGTTTATTGTGTTATCATCTCTTAGGTAAAAGTCACACCATGAATACTAATATTGCTGTAAATAATGTAAAGTAATGTAAATTATTATAAATACAATTGTGCCTCTTTCTCTATTTTATGTTAACCTGAAGGGAATTTGAGTTGGTTTGTGGAGTTAAAATAATATATATGGTATATATATAATATCTGTATATCAAATTGATGTTTTCAACAGCTTTTTCAAATCTATCCTTAGCCTCAAGTTGGTATGCCTGTTTCTAACTATTTATCAGTAGAAATGCTAGTATCTCTCTGTATACCTTTGTTTTTAGGCATGTTGCCTCCTCATGGATCTTCAACCTCTGATCCTGAAGAAAAACTAGAAGAGCTACGTACGAATCTCAAGAAACAAGTTACTTGCTCAATTTGTCTGGATACCTACACTGAACCTAAAATTATATCATGTCATCACACATTTTGCTGCGAGTGTTTAGAGAGACATGCAATAATGAACCAGAGACAAGGGAAATTCCGATGCCCTGAGTGTCAAGTAGAAATCAATTTACCGGAAGGAAATCGCTTCGACTGTCTGCCTAACAGCTTTTTGCAC